AAGAAGAAAGAGAGAGGGGCAGGAGGTATATTGGAGCAAATTATAGGAGAGAACTTCCCTAATTTGGGGAAGGAAACAGGCATCAAAATCCAGGAGGCACAGAGAACCCACCTCAAAATCAATAAAAATAGGTCAAAACCCTGACATCTAATAGTAAAACTTACGAGTCTCAGAGACAAAGAAAATCCTGAAAGCAGCTTGGGAAAAGAGATCTGTAATCTACAATGGTAGAAACATTAGACTGACAACAGACCTGTCCACAGAGACCTGGCAGGCCAGAAAGGACTGGCATGATATACTCAGAGCACTAAATGAGAAAAATATGCAGCCAAGAATACTATATCCAGCTAGGCTGTCATTGAAAATTGAAGGAGAGATAAAAAGCTTCCAGGACAAACAAAAACTAAAGGAATTTGCAAACATGAAACCAGCCCTACAAGAAATATTGAAAGGGGTCCTCTAAACAAGGGGAGAGACTAAAAGTAACATAGACCAGAAAGGAACAGAGACAATATATAGTAACAGTCACCTTACAGGCAATACAATGGCACTAAATTCCTATCTTTCAATAGTTACCCTGAATGTGAATGAGCTAAATGCCCCAATCAAAAGACACAGGGTATCAGATTGGATAAAAAAAACAAGACTCATTGATATGCTGTCTGCAAGAGACTCATTTTAGACCCAAAGACACCCCCAGATTGAAAGTGAGGGGGTGGAAGACAATTTACCAGGATAATGGACACCAAAAGAAAGCTGGGGTGGCAATCCTTAGATCAGACAAATTAGATTTTAAACCAAAGACCATAATAAGAGATGAGGAAGGACACTATATCATACTTAAAGGGTCTATCCAACAAGATCTAACAATTGTAAATATCTATGCCCCTAACATGGGAAAAGCCAATTATATAAGCCAATTAATAACAAAAGCAAAGAAACACATCAACAACAATACAATAATAGTGGGGGACATTAACACCCCCCTCACTGAAATGGACAGATCATCTAGGCAAAAGATCAACAAGGAAATAAAGACTTTACATGATACACTGGACCAAATGGACTTCACAGATATATTCAGAACATTCCATCCCAAAGCAACAGAATACACATTCTTCTCTAGTGCCCATGGAACATTCTCCAGAATAGATCACATCCTAGGTCACAAATCAGGTCTCAAACAGTACCAAAAGACTGGAATGATTCCCTGCATATTTCCAGACCACAATCCTTTGAAACTAGAACTCAACCACAAGAGGAAAGTTGGATAGAACTCAAATACATGGAGGCTAAAGAGCATCGTACTAAAGAATGAATGGGTCAACCAGGAAATTAAAGAAGAATTTAAAAAAATTCATGGAAACCAATGAAAATTACAACACAACTGTTCAAAATCTTTGGGATGCAGCAAAGGCAGTCCTAAGAGGAAAGTATATAGCAATACAAGCCTTTTGTAAGAAACAAGAGTGGTCTCAAATACACAACCTAACTCTACACCTAAAGGAGTTGGAGAAAGAACAGCAAATAAAGCCTAAACCCAGCAGGAGAAGAGAAATAATAAAGATCAGAGCAGAAATCAATGAAATAGAACCCATAAGAACAGTAGAACAGATCAACCAAACTAGGAGCTGGTTCTTTGAAAGAATTAACAAGATTGATAAACCCCTGGCCAGACTTATCAAAAAGAAAAGAGAAAGGACCCAAATAAATAAAATCATAAATGAAAGAGGAGAGACCACAACCAACACCAAAGAAATACAAACAATTATAAGAACATATTATCAGTAACTATATGCCAGCAAATTAGATAATGGACGATTTCCTAGAGATGCATCCACTACCAAAACTGAATCAGGAAGAAATAGAAAACCTGAACAGACCTATAACCGCTAAGGAAATTGAAGCAGTCATCAAAAACCTCCCAACAAATAAAAGCCCAGGGCCAGATGGCTTCCCAAGGGAACTCTACCAAACATTTAAAGAAGAATTAATACCTATTCTTCTGAAACTGTTCCAAAAAATAGAAATGGAAGGAAAACTTCCAAACTCATTTTATGAGGCCACCATTACCTTCATCCCCAAACCAGACAAACACCCAATCAAAAAGGAGAATTACAGACCAATATCTTTGATGAACATGGATGCAAAAATTCTCACCAAAATACTAGCCAATAGGATCCAACAGTACATTAAAAGGATTACTCACCATGACCAAGTGGGATTTATCCCTGGGCTGCAAGGTTGGTTCAACATCCGCAAATCAATCAATGTGACACAATACATTAATAAAAGAAAGAACAAGAACCATATGATCCTCTCAATACATGCAGAAAAAGCATTTGACAAAGTACAGCATCCTTTCTTGATCAAAACTCTTCAGAGTATAGGAAAGGAGGGTACATACCTCAATATCATAAAAGCCATCTATGAACAGCCCACAGCAAATATCATTCTCAATGGGGAAAAACTGAGACCTTTCCCCCTAAGGTCAAGAACATGGCAGGGATGTCCACTATCACGACTGCTATTCAACATAGTATTAGAAGTCCTAGCCACAGCAATCAGACAACAAAAAGAAATAAAAAGCATCCAAATCAGCAAAGAAGAAGTCAAACTCTCACTCTTTGAAGATGATATGATACTTTATGTGGAAAACCCCAAAGACTCCACCCCAAAACTGCTAGAACTCATACAGGAATTCAGTAAAGTGGCAGGATATAAAATCAATGCACAGAAATCAGTAGCATTCCTATACAGCAACAACAAGACAAAAGAAAGAGAAATTAAGGAGTCGATCCCATTTACAATTGCACCCAAAACCATAAGATACCTAGGAATAAATCTAACCAAAGAGGCAAAGAATCTGTACTCAGAAAACTATAAAATATTCATGAAAGAAACTGTGGTCTTCCAATCCATGCTTATGGATTGGAAGAACAAATATTGTGAAGATGTCAATGCTACCTAGAGCAATCTACACATTTAATGCAATCCCTATCAAAATACCATCCACTTTTTTCAAAGAAATGGAACAAATCATCCTAAAATTTGTATGGAACCAGAAAAGACCCCAGATAGCCAGAGGAATGTTGAAAAAGAAAAGCAAAGCTGGTGGCATCACAATTCCGGACTTCAAGCTCTATTACAAGCTGTCATCATCAAGACAGTATGGTACTGGCACAAAAACAGACACATAGATCAATGGAACAGAATAGAGAGCCCAGAAATGGATCCTCAACTCTACGGTCAACTAATCTTCGACAAAGCAGGAAAGAGTGTCCAATGGAAAAAAGACAGTCTCTTCAACAAATGGTGTTGGGAAAATTGGACAGCCACATGCAGAAGAATGAAACTGGACCATTTCCTTACACCACACACAAAAATAGACTCAAAATGGTTGAAAGACCTAAATGTGAGACAGGAGTCCAAAATCCTAAAGGAGAACACAGGCAGCAACCTCTTCGACCTCAGCCACAGCAACTTCATCCTAGAAATATCACCAAAGGCAAGGGAAGCAAGGGCAAAAATGAACTATTGGGACTTCATCAAGATAAAAAGCTTTTGCACAGCAAAAGAAACAGTCAACAAAACCAAAGGACAACCGACAGAATGGGAGAAGATATTTGCCAGTGACATATCGATAAAGGGCTAGTATCGAAAATCTATAAAGAACTTATCAAACTCAACACCCAAAGAACAAATGATCCAATCAAGAAATGGGCAGAAGACATGAACAGACATTTTTCCAAAGAAGACATCCAAATGGCCAACAGACACATGAAAAAAAAGTGCTCAACATCTCTCAGCATCAGGGAAATCCAAATCAAAACCTCAATGAGATACCACCTCACACCAGTCAGAATGGCTAAAATTAACAAGTCAGGAAATGACAGATGTTGGCAGGGATGTGGAGAAAGGGAAACCCTCCTACACTGTTGGTGGGAATGCAAGCTGGTGCAGCCATCCTGGAAAACAGTATGGAGGTTCCTCAAAAAGCTGAAAATAGAGGTACCATACAACCCAGCAATTGCACTACTGGATATTTATCCCAAAGATACAAATGTAGAGATTGAAGGGGTACGTGCACCCCGATGTTTATAGCAGCAATGTCCACAATAGTCAAACTGTGGAAAGAGCCAAGATGTCCTCGACAGATGAATGGATAAAGAACATGTGGTATATATACACAATGGAATATTATGCAGCCAACAAAAGGAATGAGATCTTGCCATTTGCAACGATGTGGATGGAACTGGAGGGTATTATGCTGAGCGAAATAAGTCAGTCAGAGAAAGACATGTATCATATGATCTCACTGATAGGAGGAATTTTTAATTTCAGGAAACAAACTGAGAGATGCTGGAGTGGTGGGGGGTGGGAGGGATGGGGTGGCTGGGTGATAGACATTGGGGAAGGTATGTGCTATGGTGAGCACTGTGAATTGTGTAAGACTGTTGAATCACAGACCTGTACCTCTGAAACAAATAATACATTATATGTAAAAAAAAAAAAAAGAAAGAAGAAGAAGATAGCAGGAAGGGAAAAATGAAGGGGGGGAAATCAGTGGGGGAGATGAACCTGAGAGACTATGGACCCAGAAACAAACTGAGGGTTCTGGGTGGGGGGGGGTGGTTAGCCTGGTGATGGGTTTAAAGAGGGCACATATTGAATGGAGCACTGGGTGTTATACCCAAACAATGAATTATGGAACTCTACATCAAAAACTAATGATATAATGTATGGTGATTAACATAAATAAATAAATAAATAAATAAATAAATAAATAAATAAATAAATAAATAAATAAATAAAAAATAAATAAATAAATAAAAATGTTTTGTGATTAATGCAAGTAAAGTATATAATGTGAAAATTTCAGAGAATCATACTTACAGTAGACAAATACAATGTATAATCCAAAACAAAGTACACAAATTATGAAGCATAAAGGAACGTTCCTTATAAACAATAACTTGAAATTCATATGATTGACTTACTTCAGGGCTGGATTTATGGATAGAAAATATTTCTTTTCTTTGGGAATTTAAAATCAGTCTGGATACATTGACCACTGGAACATGTGAACTTCCACTTGAAACTCCATGAACCAATGTCTTCATGGAGCATGTAGTTTTTTAAGTGTCCTGTGCATAGAAGCATAGGTGAGGTTTACTTTCCAGAATCCACCTGATTTTAGTCTACATTTTTAGTTTCAAATATCTAATAAATATTGACTAATAGAGAAAATCTTCGAATTGCAGACATTCTAATTAGTAAAAGTTTTGTCTTATTTTAGCTTCCCCCGATATTGCCTCCTTCTAAGAGACTCAAATATACTTTCAAATGGACCATCTTTGAATTGCTACAATTATGCTACATATGCTGAAATTTTAAAAAGCAGCATTTGGAGATAATTTTAATTACATTAAAACATGGTAGCTCAATGAATCTGACATGTTTTCATTAGATGGAAACTGTCCCCCTTTTGACATTATAGTGTTTAAGCCAGATTTATTAATCATACTTGAATTTGTAGAAGATTCCGATCAATCACTGTTCTAGCACAGGTCAATTACTATACAGCAAGTCAACTGAAGTGTCAAATTCAAAACCCCTAGAGAATTTCAGGTCCCAGAACAACAGAGAACCCTCGAGATACTAAAACTTGTCTAGAGTATATCAGCATTAAATTAGCAATGCTGAAACAATTCTTACAAAACTTACATTAGAATCTGGAGCTTCCTTTCAAAATATGGATAGTAAAGAAATATAGAATTTTTCACATCATCTAATCAGTTATGGCCTTTTAAATTTAATGAACCGAAGTGGAAACTTAATTCTCATTCTATATCCCTTTCCATTTTTAATTCTAAAGACAAGTTTTATAATTTTTATTTCCAAGATAAAGCTTTAGGTCTTCATATATCCTAAGCCACATTTAATGTATTAAGGTTTTGATTACGGGGGCGCCTGGATGGCTCAGTTGGTTAAGTGTCTGCCTTCAACTCAGGTCCTGATCTCAGGGTCCCGGGATGGAACCCCACGTCGGGCTTCTCTCTCTTCCTCTCCCTCTGCCCCTGACCCTGCTTGTGCTCTCTCTTTCTCTCTCTCTCTTTCAAATAAATAAATAAAATCTTTAAAAAAAGATTTTGATTACATAATTTTGGATGTCTGTCTCACTTTGTTTTTCACTTGACTTCGTAGAGATTTAACATTTGTCCCCGCTGCCAAGTCAGATCCTTCTGATGTTTTTCAGGCTCGACAATTTGGGGATTTTTAACAGGTTTTGGATTCGCTTTTTATTATTGAAATTAGAGAGTAGAATTCAGTATATCTAGTAAAGAAGTAAATTTTACTGTCCACATTGCATTTCTAGGCACAGCCATTTTGATGGGAATTTGAAAGCTGATTAGGGAATTGTAGCTGTTGTTAATTGATCTGATTCTCTGATTAGCAGGATAGACATCTGGCCATTGACTTTTTTCCTTTCAAGAATTTTGGCTGTTGGGTAACAGAAGGAACGCACTCGCTATGGGAATGGTAAACATAAATTTTGAGAGCAACTGCATTAGCAGTGTCAAAAGCAATTGTCTCAGAATAAATCGGGCCCTTTCACCTTGCCTGTGTTGCTTTGTGGATCCCTCTCAGGCCTGGTTTGCTAGCCAGAGTACTCAAGTCAATGGGAGCTCTTGGGTAACTAGAGGCAAGGCTATCACTTGCATTGTAATTTTGTTTACAATATTTATGCTTAGAGATGATATTCCCATTCAAAGATAAGAATCATTAAACTGTTTTGCATTTATTTTAATCTTTTCTGTTTTAATATTAAATATATCTAAAATATATTTTGTATAAATTTAGAATTTTATCATTTTTTTAAAATTTTGCTCTGAGATCTTGGAGTTTATTCTTTTTAAGTGTTCATTTAAATCCTAGTTAGTTCACATACAGTGTAATATTAGTTTCAGGTGTAAAATATAGTGATTCAACACTTCCATACAACATCTGGTGCTCATCACAACAAGTACACTCCTTAAACCTCATTGCCTATTTTACTCATCCCTCCAACCCCTCCCTGCTGATAACCATCGGTTCGTTCTCTACAGTTAAGAGCCTGTTTCTTGGTTTGCCTCTCTCTTTTCTTCCCTTTGCTCATTTGTTTTGTTTCTTATACCCCACATTTGAGTAAAATCACATGGTATTTGTGTTTCTCTGACTGACTTATTTCCCTTAGCATAATATCTCTAGCTCCATCCATATCATTGCAAATGGCAAATTTTATCCCTTTAGAAAAACAATCATTGCTGCTCCATGTACAGAACAATGTACCCTTTCTTTAAAGGATATTAATATGAATTGAACTGAAATTTATCTTGTATACTATTAATATTTTAGTTAAACTCATGCCAGTATTTCTAGATCTCCTCATATTTTATTGTTTATAAATTTCAGAATATTTAAAATACTGTTAGTGAGGGGCTCTTTTTTTGTGCAGTTTAATGGAGATGCCTTTAGTTTTGCCTTTAGTTTTCAAAAATAAGTAATATCTTTATTATTATTCTATATACATATTACTTTTCATGTAACAATTTTTTTAATTTTTAGCTTATGGTGAGCTTTTTTTCTATTCTGATATTTTTAGATTTTGGAAATAGTTTTTGAAACATTTATAAAGATGAGATGAAATTTATAACAGATTTCTTTATATTGGCCCATTCTTTCATTCTATTCCACCACAGTGGATTAGACTCAAAATTTCTGTGAATTGGGGGTGATTATTTTTTTAATATGAAGTAATAAGATAGATCAATATTTTTATTTCCCATGTTTTCTTTTTCAGATTTTGGTTCAGAGTTATGCAAGTGTCATGGAAAGAACTAAAAGTGTTCATATTTTTTCTGTTTTAGAAGAGAAATCATGACAAGAACAAGTGGTGCCTTAAAAGTTATAAAATAAAAACTCACCTCTTAGGTTCTCTGGGCAAAGAATCTTTGCTTGAGCAATAAAGATTCAGTAGTATGAAACCCAAAGGGCATACGGTGATGAACTGGATATTTTTTCCCTTGAATCACATTCTTCAACCATGCTCAGATCCACACATTTCAGTCTTCTGAAAGAAGAGGAACAGCAAGGCAGCATAGTGGTTAAAGACAGTCTTTGGAACCGGATACATTTAGGTTTGAATGCCAAGTTTGATCTTAAAAACCTGATTTTACCTTTCTAAACCTCAGTTCTCTCTATGTGAAATAGAATAAAAATACTTCATAGTATACATTTATATTCAATTTATATTCAAATAGTACCTTACATCAAAGATGAGTGAGGGTTTTGGAGAAAACATTTTGCTCTTTGGTATGCTTTTTTTTTTTTTTAAGATTTTATTTATTTATTTGAGAGAGAGAGAAAGTATGAGAGGGAGGAGGGTCAGAAGGAGAGGCAGACTCCCCACTGAGCAGGAGCCCAATGTGGGACCAGATCCCGGGACTCCAGGATAATGACCTGAGCCAAAGGCAGTCACCAAACCGAGTCCCAGGCGCCCCTCTTTTGCTATGCTTTTTAAGAAATCCAAGAATACTATGTCTCCACTAATAGTTTATTTAAAAGTTATCCATCAGGTAATTCTTAAAAGAACTGAATTTTGCTACATTGTCAACAAATATATTTTAAATGCTTGGTCCATACACTTACAAAGATCTCAAATATTTTTTGACCAAAGACTGTCAGTTTTAGACTGATTGAAGATCTCTATATTAATGCAAGCTGCTGTTGTCATCAAAGAAAAATAGGTCATTAATCTTTTTTAAATTTCTATCAACAAAATGGATATAGTCCTTTGAAATCAAAAGATACAATCCAAGTTCAGTTTGGGATACTAAGATACAGTTTCTCCTTTGAAAAATAGCAATACAAATACCATAAAAAGGAAGTTAAAGGAAATCAACAATGGTGCTGATATTGTTATTTAAATATTGTATGCTGACTGATAGCCACGTAAATATTTGAGTGAAGACACAATAATTAGATACTTCCTATCTTATCTTCAATATCTGAAATTTGTGCAAAGAATTCCTACAAATGAGGAAGAAAATAAAAAATGGTCAAAATGATAGTGTAAATGATTCAACAGTCATTGTGTTATTTAGCAGATTTCAGTGAAATGGAGTGTTGCAATTCCACTTCTAGTTTGTAGTTTTGCAATCCAGGAAAACACTTGCAACAGTGCAAAATGGAACATGAACAAGAATACCTATCCTATTATTGTTTTGATAATAAAGCGCTATAAGCAACCTTGATTGCAGCAGATGCTGTTGATGCCCTGACCATCTCCCCTTTATAAGGCTTTTTGTGTACCTGTCCCACACTACTATGGGTATTGGTCACTAAAAACTTCATACCTGCACCTTTCTCCAGAGACAAACCTTGGTTGACAGAAGCTTCCAACTCAGGAGATGCCTACAAGTTTTCCAAACCCACCTTTCCACTCATTTTCCTCTACCTAGTTCTGTCTCAAAAGCCATCCATTTTTCCCCTTCCTGCTATCTTCTTCTTCTTCTTCTTCTTCTTCTTTTTTTTTTTTTAACATATAATGTATTATATGTTTTAGAGGTACAGGTCTGTGCTTCAACAGTCTTACACAATTCACAGTGTAGGGGGGGAAATGGGAGGAGGAGATGAACCATGAGAGACTATGGACTCTGAGAAACAAACTATCTGAGGGTTCTAGAGGGGAGGGGGGGTGGGGGTATTGGTTAGACTGGTGATGGGTATTAAAGAGGGCATGTACTGAATGGAGCACTGGGTGTTATACGCAAACAATGAATCATGGAACACTACATCAAAAACTAATAATGTAATGTATGGTGATTAATATAATAAAATAAAAATAAAAAAGCCATCAATTAGCCTACAGATGGCTGATTGATGTAGAAATAAATAACCCAGACTCTTGGCCTCTGGGTGGGGCAGCCTCTGAAGTGTAATTCACAATCAAGAGCCCCTTGGATCAGGCTGAGACTAGATAAGTCCTGAGACCACTTCTTTACTGCTTTCCTCACTCCCTTGCAAGTTTCTCCTCAGAGCAGTCCCTCATGAAATGATTTACACACAAATTTTTATCCCAAATTCTGCTTTTTGGAAGCTTGAGATAAGAAACTCTTGTATCTGTTAAAGAACAATGCTTAGCTGAAATATGACATATGTGATGATGGGTTACTTTGCAGTGGTAAAAATAAATGAATCTACCTACATAGAGCAATATGAATAATTTGCAAAAACATAATTTTAGGACAAAAACCAAAGAAAAAAACTTACAGCCAATACCATCAATGTAAAATAGGCATGAAAATAATACTATCAGTTTCTAATTAATTGTTTATTTGGAGTCAAGAAGAATGGGGTATAAAAATCAAATTGAGTGTGGTAGATAGAGGAGAGATATAAAATAAAGCAATAAAAATTGTGCATGGGCCAGTGCTGAAAATGAATATGAACTGAGGAATTTTCTACATGAATTTCATGAGTGTCAAAAATAACAACAAAAACAAAATAACAACAACATAGTGGTTGCTTAATGAAAATTTTTACTCCCTAACCTGTAGCCCTCCCTAACCTTTTTCCTTTCCTGATTAATGGATGAAAGTATATCTAAAAACACTGTTTAATATGATGCAGGGCTTTCCAACCTAGTCCAACTTATTTTGGGAGTACACACATATAAAAAAGACAATTATTAATGATTTTCTGAATTATAATATATTTCCTTTCTATTTTTTCTACTTGCTCCCTGCTTTAGTAATCCCTCCTTTAGTAACTTTCTAGATTACTATAAGTCTATATTAACTGGTCTTCTTTTCTTCTTTTTTATTTTTTTATGTGATTGTTTACTATTTCTTTTTTTCATTTAAATTCAATTAGCCAACATATAGTACCTCATTAGTTTCAGATGCAGAGTTCAGTTATTCATCAGTTGTATATAACACCCTTAACTGGTCTTCTTGATATATTATTGGGTAAGAGGCATAAAGATGATTTTGAATGCTAGAGCTGCTATTTTTACATGTGGAAACATAAGTTCTTTGCATACTTTCTCCAGCACTATTCACTGAAAAATTGTCTCTAGACAACATTTTGCTATTTGGCTACTACTGAAGAATTTCACCAATGTGTCTGCAATAAAATTTTCAGAATAATAGTATATTTAAATGTTTATATTTTGAAAGCTATTGATAAAAACTTTGGATGCAGAAAACTTTAATAAAATTTTAATAATTTAAAAATAGGGCTACAGGAATTCTAGAGAAGAGACCAAGTCACTTGTAAAGGAAAGATTTGAAAGTGTTTTATAACTCTGTAGATTAGATTCAGAAAATTAATATTCTCCATCAAAGAAATGAGTAAGAGAAGTGTTGGTTATTAAGACTGTAAGCGAGAGATGAGACAATGTGGAAGAATAATTCATCACTGTCTAATATTGTTAGGTTTTGATTTTGTGCATGCACACTCTCCTTTTCTTAAAAAGAAAACACCTTCCTTTGGAATTTATTATTCAACAAATGATGGCAACACTCAATTCTAATATAATTTATGAGATATGATGGGGGAAATGAAGCTGATTTTCTTGTACATAAGTAGAGACACATATAAGGAATAGAATTGTTGACTATTATAATTCCAGAAACATTCTACATCATCTTAATCACTATCATGTTCAAAATAGCTGATACATCACAGGGATTAAAGATTATTGTATTGGATTCTAATTGCTGACCTTGTATAAACTGAGTATTATCATTATAAATTGATGTCTTTAAAAAGTCTAACACTTGAAGAAATACACTGAGCTTTTAGTAATTCTCAACAGATATAGATTCCACCAAGTACTTTTAATGTTGATATTTTTTAATGGAAGCCAGTCTACATACTTTCTATAACTTAGTCTTTCAAATGTCATTCTTGGGTCCTGAGAGAAGAATCTCAGTATTATTAACTCTGTGGTGGAATTATAATTATAGATCAAGTCAGTAATTAAAGTCTGCTGTATATGGAATAGACTCAGGTCAATCCTGGATCTGACATATCTGACTGAAATTATCCGTGAGTTGTCATTAATAAATTTTCATTAGAACTTGACAAAGAAGAACTGTGAATCTCCAATTGGAAGTGATTGGTTCAGGGATTTTATTCTTTTTAATTTGGAAACCATGACAATTTTCTTCTGGGTGTCCTTGAACTACTAAAATTTTAGGCGAAGATGCACATGGGTGCATTTACCAGGTAGATAGCCTATAGATTTTCATCAGACCCTTCAAGAAGATCTTGATCCAAACAACAACAAAACCCAACACATTTATTACATAACATCCACACATTCTCTGTCTTCCTCCCTCCCTCTCTCTCTTTCTGTCTCTCTCTCAATCTATTTCTCTCTTTGAGTTAAACAAAAGTCCAGAGAGATAAGTGGACTTGTCCTAAATGGGCTTGTCCTTGTTACACGATTAAACAGAGCTGGGACTAAAACTGCATTCTTCTGTTTTCCAGTCCTACACTCATTTCCATTAAATCAATGGTCTTTCATCTCTTGTCAGTATTTTGAAAGCATCGGTCTTGCATTATGGTAAGTACTCTACTAGGGCATTAACAGATATACCAATTAATGATAGGAAATTATACTGTCTTTAGTATTTAAATATGCATTGTAGCATTTTGTTTACTTTGGATCTGAAAAAAATAAATATCTTCCTTTCAACTCTGACTCCTAGGCAAAATTGTCAGGGATAAAATAAAACTGTCCTTTCCACATGTTTGATTAGTTGCCTGACAGGCTTTGGTAATTGAAACTAATTGAATCATTAGCCTACATACACCAAAAAGTAAGTCTGTTTTAATGATAGTCACATTAGAATTTGATGAATGGTTATTAGATGTGACCCTTATGCTTCTTACTCTTAAAAAGCTGTCTTAAAGTAAATAGCAGGCCATTATATCAGAATAATAGTTCAATATATTTTAAACATACCCAATAAAGCCTATACACTGCTAAAGTTCAAACTTTGGAGAAATCTTGTTACTTCCTTGTGTCTTTTAGAATTCCCAACATATTATCATTTTTTACTGTATCATATTCTTTCATCTTTTGTTTTTATTGTATCAGCCACATTACATTAAGACTTCAAAATGATTAACTCATTCAAATCATCAATCCATCTTTTAATAATGTTATATATCAAATTAGTTTTTATCATTCTAATGCATTTGTCATTATTCTTGTTTCCTTAAAATTGAAGTTGTTAAGCATACAGGTAGGTGATATTTAGACCAAATAATCTTAATTCAGTTACATTATTCTTTCCAAAACTATGTAACACTAACAAAAGGACACATATGGCTCAGTATAGGTGAAATTAAATTGTTGGGATGGAAGGACTGGGCAGGGAAACATGTGTCTGAGTTTTTCTATAAACAGTAATTTTAATATCTGATATCCTTTGTAGATTATTTTGCAAAGTTATTTTTAAATGTGTAATATTTTCACAAAATTATAATACAAAGGTACTATTAGCATATTATGCTGAATACGAAATCCTTTATTTCATAACACAGATGGTGAACAAAACAGGGAGCCAAGAACTAAAATATAGAAAGAACCCTTAGAATTTCCAGCATGGCGAATAATTCATATAATGGTACAATGTATTAGCGATTTTTAAAGTTACTTTAAATAAAACTCATAAAGAATTTTCTCAAGATATACTCTTAGAAAATTTCAAGTTACCATACATCATTGCTAACTCTAGTTCCCAACACAGACACACACACACACACACACACACACACAGGGTAAATATGTGTGGTGATAGGTAAATTAGCTTGATTGGGGGCACCACTTCACAATGTATATGTATATCAAAACATCATGTTGTACATCTTAAATATATACAATGATTATTTGTTAATAATGTGTCAGTAAAGCAGCAAAAATAAACTTAAATGAATTGAATATTGATTTAAAAAAAAAGTTTTCTCAACAGTTGGACATATTTGAATTTTCCCAGTCTATAAGTTATATTTGTAGCAGCCACACCTTTCCATGTTACAAAATTTCCTACAAACAATAGGAGTAATTCTCATTATCCAGGCTTGAAAAAATTTGAATACAAAGACAAGGACCCACCTCTTTCCACATATCAATAGAGGAAGATATAGAATACCAGAAAGATGTCTGGATCTTTAATGTGAGAACCTGAAATACTGGAAGATGATCTTGATGCAGAATTGTTCAGTAGCTTCCCGGCCGCACTGGACCTTGCATGAGTCTGAAGAGTGGAAGATTGCAATTAGGTAAACAGTAATGAATATACGGTGATCATAAATAATACTTCAAGGTATCTGTCACAAACATGTGATATGAAAAACACAGATATACTAGCATTACCATGGTTTTTTGTCTATGTTTATAATTAAATGAAATGCTAAATTTCAATTAAAGTTTAGGGAAAATAATATTGTAGTATTTTTCTCATCCAAGTTTAGTAATCTGTCATTTCTTTCCATAAAAACCAGCTTAAGTGGGGCACCTGGGTGGCACAGTCAGTTAAGAGTCAGACTGGGTTTCTGCTCAGGTCATGATCTCAAGGTCCTGGGATTGAGCACCCCCACCCCACTTCACTCCTGCCCCACATTGGGTTCTGCGCTCAGCACAGAGTCTGCTTGAGACTCTGTCTCCCACTGCCCCTGCCTCTCACACCGTGCTCTCTCTCTCTCTAAAATAAATCTTAAAAAAAAAAAAAAAAACAGCTTAAGAAAACCTGGTGGTTTCTCACAAAGTATCTTAAGTATTCTACTAATATGTATAAGAAGAATAAAAGCATAATAAATATTGTGATATTTTCTAGTTTCTCTTTACTTACAAATTACTGATACAAAAGGGGTTTAAAATGGATAAAGAAACTTGCCAACAAAAGTTGAGGAAAATAATATTCTAAATCTATACAGCATCAATAAATAGTAGTTCACAAAATGATGACATACTGAACTACAAGATTATATAAATCTTAATGGTTTCTTCTAATAGTTGGGAAGAGATAATGGAGAAGGGACTTTCTTAAGTAGAAATATTTTCACACAAAATTGGCTAGTTTAAATGAAAAAGTATAAAGGGGATCATCAAAAGTTTCCTTAAATTAATACTCAAGTCTTTTTAATATATTCTATTTTGTCTGATCATATGAAAAACAATTTGTCAGAATAAATTTATAACATTACATATTTTATATTGAAATGGGAATGATAGAACGCAAATAAAAAATCAAAATAAGAATAACCAAACACACACAAACAGCATATCAAGATAATTCTAAAAGGAATACACATATTTCAGAAAGGATTTAATAAACCCAAAAGATACTTTTTACATAATAATTACTCTGCTTAACCATAAAAGTCTTTTTCAATGACATTATCATAACTGTAAAATAAAACTAATTTTTTATAACTTATTCTACTACATTTTAAGTTTTTAGAGATGCTCTTAGTATCTAAACTGGAGCTGGTGGGAAAAGATATTCTAGATTCTACAGTGATTTTCCCCTACTTCTGTAAGATTAAAAAAAAAAGTGAATGCTAATGTTTAAATATGAGGATAAAGTTAAGTCCAACAATTAGATTTATTAGTTGTTTTGTCACCCATGTGATTGGATTTACCACTATGTTGATGTTAAGTATTGAGCTAAGTGAGAGCTAGCAGGCAGAGTAGAAGCTAAGCAAGTATCTAACCTGAAAGTATTTAATGCAAAGTGTAAATACTTGTACCCGAGTTCTGAGAAAACCAGGTGCATATTGTTTCAGAGGAGAACTGCCTAGCCCCTAATGCTGAAGAAAGATCTTGTAAGCACTAAATACTTCACGTTGCAGTCAAGGATCCTGACTGAAACTATTCATTGTTATTTTACAACAACCAATCTGTAAGGTAGGTAGAGCAGATATCTACTTTATATATGAAGAAACTGAGTCAACAGTCAGCCTTGTCCAAAATCAAACATTGATTTACTTCTGGGGTCATGATTGAAATGAACTTTCTGGACTACCAGCCCACCATTCTTTCTTTCATATTGTGTTCAATATCAATAGATATGATGACAATCATATAATTATATAATCCTTTAGCTCAAATGAGTATATTAACATAAAATTTATGTACAGTATAAACATTTTTGCTCAAATGAAAGATACTGGCTTAAACAATGATGACTCTGACTTTTTGTAATGATTCCTTTATACTAGAAATGATTTAACTTACTGCTCAGCATAATAAACAGATCATTAAATACTGTATATAACTGAGATAAAATAAATACTGTATATAATTGAGATAAAATAAATTGCTCTTGTCTGGGTTTCATTGCGATAATTAGCTTTATTAATAAAGACAATTTGTAATAATAGCAAGGATAATGTGTGCAACCTAATTCTTCACCATGAATATTTAACTGATACTTTAATTTAATATTTTGATTTAAGATAAAAATAATTCAAGGTAAACATAATTATCTTATAAATACGCAAATAAAAATAAAAAAAACAGATGGTTTTAAGTGCTCTCCTTTAAAAAATACATAACTGACTGGTCCTCTGAGGCAATTTTGCTTTAAAAAATACACTTAAATATACATACAGAGAAATATCAGAAAAGAAATGAATGGAAAATGATAAGAGAATAATCTTTAGTTACATAAAAATTTATGGAAACAATAGGATAGATACAATGAAACAGAATAGAAAACCCAGAAATGGACTCATGACTGTAAGGTCAACTAATCTTCCACAGAGCAGGAATGAATATCCAATGGGAAAAAGGCTTTTCAATAAATGGTGTTGGGAAAACTGGACAGCCACATGCAGAAGAATGAAACTGGACCACTTTCTTACACCATACACAAAAATAAACTCAAAATAGATGAAAGACCTAAATGTGAGAAGGAAAAAGTCAAAATTCTAGAGGAAAACACAGGCAGCAACATCTTTGACCTTGGCTGCAGTGAATTCTTATTAGACATGTCACTGGAGGCAAGGGAAACAACAGCAAAAATGAACTAGTGGGACCTCATCAAGATAAAAAGCTTCTGCACAGCGAAGGAAACAATCAACAAAACTGAAAGGCAGCCTATGGAATGGGAAAGATATTTGCATATGACATATCTGATAAAGGGTTAGTATCCAAAATCTATAAAGAACTTACCAAACTCAACACCTAAAAAATCAAATAATCCAGTTAAGATATGGGCAGGAGACATGAACAGACATTTTTCCGAAGAGGACATCTAGACCAACAGACACATGAAAAGATGCTCAACATCACTCATCATCAGGGAAATACAAATCAAACCACGATGAGATACCACCTCACACCTCTCAGAATGGCTAAAATTAACAACTTAGGAAACAACAGATGTTGGCAAGGAGGCAGAGAAAAGGGAACCCTCTTACACTGTTGGTGGGACTGCAAACTGGTTTAGCTACTCTGGAAAATAGTATGAAGGTTCCTCCAAAAGTTAAAAATAGAACTACCCTATGATCCGGCAATTGCACTACTAGGTATTTACACAAAGGATACAAAAATACAGCTTTGAAGTAGGGGGGCACATGCACCCTGATGTTTATAGCAGCATTATCAAAAATAGCCAAATTATGGAAAGAGCCTAAATTTTCATCAACTGATGAATGGATAAGTATATATTATATATGCATATAATATGTACTTTATTATTATTATTTTAGTAATACTTTATTAATATTATATATATATATATATATATATAATGGAATATTACTCAGCCATCCAAAAGAATGAAATCTTGCCATTTGCAACAATGTGGATGGAGCTAGAGTGTATTTTGATAATCAGAGAAAGACAAATACCATATTATTTCACTCATATGTGGAATTTAAGAAATGAAACATAATCATAGGGGAAAAATCGAGAGGCAAACCATAAAACAGACTCTGAACTACAGAGAACAAACTGAGGGTTGCTGGAGGGAGGTGGGTGGGGCGATGGGTTAAAGAGGTGGTGAGTATTAAGGAGGACACCTGTTGTGATGAGCACTGGGTGTTACATGTAAGTGATGAATCTCTAAATTCTACTCCTGAAACTAATATTACACTATATGCTAGCTAACTGGAATTTAAATAAAAACCAGAAACAAACAAACAAAAAAGTAAAGAACTTATTCTTGTGTTGTTGGTTGGAGCATTCTACAAACATCCATTAGATCTTGTTGGCTTAATGGTGTTAATGAGTTTTATATCCTAGACAGTTTTCTAATTATTCTATGACTTGTTGTGAAAGGGGTGTTGAAGGCTCCAACTGTACCTGTGGATTTGTTTATTTTTTTTCAATTCTATCACTTCTGCTTCACATATTTTGCATCTCTGTTGTTTGGAACTCACACATTTAGGATGCTATGTCTTCTTGGTTCATTATCATGTCCCACTCTGGCTCTCATTATTTTTTTTGTCTGCTAATTACATTGCTACTTCTGCTCTACTGTGTCGTTTCTCAGTATTGAGGTGCCCAGCCAGACCAAACAAGTCTTAAATTTATTTTACATGTAATACCCATGGGTTTAAATTGTTCCTAGCAAGGAGATATAAGGGAAATTTCAGGAAAAAAAAATATTTGGACATATTTTGATCATTACACAATTATTTAATTCTTGAAAATACTTTGTATTAATTGTAAAAGCTCTACAACCTTTAAACATAGAAAAATAGAAACAAAATATGTCAAATTACACATGCCTTAAAAGGATGAAGGTAAGTATTAAACTTATTAAATGTTAAATTCATTGCCTTGAAATTAGATTATAAGGCCTATAATTTAGTTTCAAAAAAGTACTAACTGAATTTTGACAAAAATTTTGCAAAACTGAAGTATGAAATTAAAAAATGAGTACTGTGTTTGATTATGCACAATTTAGGATACATTTCTTCCATTTGGATTTTTAATTTTTGTAAAGTGTTCTTACTAGTTATGACAGCCACTAAAATCAGATGTAGAAATAATTTTTTTTACCATAATTAAATTAATTCAAGAAAATTTTATTTCAGTTTTGGCTAATAATTTTAATTCCTAACTTTATTTTTTTTTTTTTTAAGATTTTCTTTATTTATTTGACAGAGACAGAGATAGCAAGAGCAGGACCACAAGCCCCAGGAGTGGGAGAGAGAGAGCAGGCTTCCCGCCGAGGAGGGAACCCGATGTGGGACTCGATCCCAGGACCCTGGGATCATGACCTGAGCCTAAGGCAGACGCTTA